GTCAAAACTAAAAACACAAAAGCTCTTATCTAATTGATCTCAACCTCATATGTGCAATGTCAAAAAAAAACTCAAAACTTTTGACTTATGGAGTCAATGTCGTTGACTCAGATGTGTATCGTAATCTATAAATGTGTCGTGATTGAGGCATAGCTATCATAACCCTTACACATATCTAGTCACAAATATCATAGTGGACTAAATGCGTCAAAACAAATGACCTTCTACAGCTTCCTACTTACTTGTGCGCACCCATTGCGAACAAAGTTACATATTCACATGAGAGCAGGATGTCATAAGCGAGTGGGCGAGGAGGCCTACTCAAACCATCGTGTCATCATCTCATTAAGTGTATTAGTATAATAAGTCACTGGTTCATGACCAATGTCATAAACTAATTCAATCATCTTAATGTGTGAGTTCCAAGACAAGTTTTAAAGGTTAGGCCCAACTAGGTAATGACTCACGACTAATTCATATTCACTAGATCATAAAAGGATGTCATGGAGATATCAAGTGCGCCTAAGTCGCAAATTTAACTAGTAAGTGCTAATCCCCTGCACCTTCAAGTCAATTTATTCTCCATACACTTTACTGCATCTAGTGAAAGATGACGATACTCCTCTTGCATATCTATTTCTCGCTTCATAGTTACTTGCAATTAATTCTACTATCCAACAAGAAGGAGAGAATAAGCTATCAACTATGACAGCTCCAAAGTAACTTATAGCGCGATTAGGCTAAAGAGTCTAATTCAACACAATGCTCTCACAAGCGATGCGTCAAATTCTTAGAGTCCATAACAACCTTGTCGGCCTTGACCTTTTCATCACTATGCCGCAACGTTTGCGCTTAGTGCTAAACGTTATTCAAAAACGTTAGCCTAGCTAAGGAATCATACAAAGAAGCCCCTCCTCATGTCTCACACTCAAGTGTGGAAACAGTAAGTGTCCAGACTTAGACAAGTTGGCAATGCTAATAGATTTTACAGTTTAAGCGCTAATCTTTTCACTTGGTGTTAATAGATTTGCAGTTCTAAGCGCTAATCTTTAACTTCACGTGTTAATTCAACGCACACTATTTATAGTGCATGAAATTTTACTCATTCACTCCCAATAATTGGGTAGGAGAGCAAAACACTGTTCATACTGGCTACTCGTCTTACACTTAATGACTAATTTATTTAAGCTCGCATTTCTGGATGACGTGACTCTTGAATGTTACTTCATCCAATGATGTAACATTATTTACAAGTCAAATTACAAAGTCAATCCGCGCAGCTCAATAGTCAATATCATATACAGATCTATTAGGACTTACTAATTTCATAACTCCAAAACTCGCCAAACCAAAACTACGTAGCGTGCGCGTAACCATAGCGCACACATTAGTTTTATTATGCCAAACAAGGCAACAAAACAGACGACTTTGAGTCATATTTCCTTACTTTGCTCAATTAAGACTTGACCTAAAGTCTCAAAGACTTTTGCTCATCTAAAGAATGGGATTAGTTTGTTCACATTTGAACATCTTTACTAAGTCTAGGTCAACCAAATTAACTTCCATAAGCTAAATCAATTTAGAGAGAAATTCGCATTTGGATTAATTTGATTAGCATAATATAATTTTGCCGCAAAAATCTAAATTAAATAGTGACAATATTACACAAGTCGCAAGATCGAAAATCCGCTATCCTCGTAATCATCTCTTGTGCCACAAGTGACAATTATCCAAAATTTAATTTAATTTATGCGCAAAACATTGGTTTTCGGGAGTTAATCTACAAAGATTTCTCTCAACCGAATAACCTCCCACTGACTATGGCATGTCTAAAAGCATGATAAAAAAATTCTAATTTCATACAATAGCATCATAATGTAGATTCACAATCAATACATGCGATGTTACATTTAATAACGGAATTAAAATAAAAAAATAATTAATCATGCTATTCTAATCACAATATATTACAAACCCTAAAAAAAAATAATATGTTGTATTTAATATTCAAATTATGCCATAATAGAAACTGTATCACTTCTGAAATTTTCTGGAATTTTTCTGAATTTTTTTGGAATTCTAAATAACTAATAAACACACATTAAATTAGAAATAAAAAATTTTAGAATCTGATAAACTGAAAAAATTATTCTAGTAAATAGTAAAACATTTCAGAAGTCTACAATAAAAAATTCAACCCCAGAAAATAATTTATGTAATACCAGAAGCATTGTAAAGCATAAATAATGAATTATAATCACAGGAAAAATACTTTTTATTTTCATAAAATTTTCAAAATTTTACAAAAGATAGAAAATATAATTCTGAGTCTAACGGTACTAACCACGCTTAAAACAAAGCTATAACGAATTAATTATGACCATTTAACATAATTCTGAATTTAAAAACAAAACAAACAAACCCTTACATCAGCAGCCAAGCCAACGGAGGAAAAACGGCGCGGCTTAGCACGCGGCGCGCGTGTGTGGCGCGGAGGGCGCGTGCGTGGAAAGCGCGGAACAGCGCGCACGTGGAGGCGCGTGAGAGCGCGTGACAGCGCATGGAGGCGCATGAGAGCGCGTGGAAGCCTCCCACGGCGTCAGGTGGCGCGTGACGCCTACGCTCCGCCTTCCAGGGTGTTTTCTGGTTCGATTTTTGTACTGCCGGACTCCATTTTTCACAATAAAAATATTTATGACATTAAAAATAACATTTAATGAACATAAAAATGAAGTGTATCATATTCTCAATTAATGAGAGTTGAAGTGCAAAAAATTGTGCACTTCATCTTCCTCCTCCATTAATTTTCATGCATATAATGTGTATATATTTATATAAAAAAATACACATATTTTAATGCATAAAAAATAAGCACGAAAAAATCCATATAGGCTCTGATACCAATGTAAATCAAAGTATTATATTACAGCCGGATAAAATATCAGAATCATACCTTGTAGCGAAGAACCTCGTGGGTAAATCACGTGCTTCCAAAATCTGAACAACGAACCCAACAGTGGAGTGATACTACAAAATGAGTATCACCCACACAAGTCACAGTGCAAAATGGCTTGATCGTTGTTTTTTGAGAGAGAGTTAGAGAGAGAGTATGGGAAAAAAGGTTATGGGTAAAAATCACATAACGTATATCTGATATACGTATCTCATAGATTAACCATATAATCTGATATATAACCACATATAGGTTAGTAATTTAAAAAAAAAAAAAAAATTCTTTCATTCAAAATTCCCTCAGATTTGTGATACGTGAAGCATTACAGAGGAGATAGAGAGAGAGATAGAGAACGAAAAGGGCTGAGAGGAGGAGCTTCCGATCCACCCCCGACTCGCCGTTGCCCGGCCATACTCTAGCAGATTGAAGGAAAAGAGCACAGGTTCGTTCATCCTCCAAACTTAAAATATTAGGGCTTTGAATCAAAAAATTAGGAAAAATCTGAACTTGGAATAATTTGACTTTTTTTCCTCCATGCGTTTGAAATCAATGGCGTTTCAAATCTAATGAATATTTACGAATCTTAGTTCTTCATGTTCTTCCATTGTCATACAATTTTTTATTTAATTTATGTTCTCTATTTGCTTCTAGTTTAATTTTACTTGGCTTTGGGAATTTTGTTTTTTGAGATATGGTTAAAAAAAAATTGAATTTCATATAGGATCTCACATTGGGGGAAGGGAAATGTTTTGGTAGGTCAAAATTTGATGAGAAATTTAACAAACTTATGTGTGAATTAGAAATTGAAAGCCTTATTTTTGGTGTTTTTGGTGAACTGGGTATATTTTATTCTTCAATTTGCAATTGGGTCTTTGTGGGTATGATGATGATAGTTGTTACAGGGCTAATCTTTTTATTTACTTCTCATTCTATTGAGGCTTTGGAATTCCCTAGACATATTGGAATTTACAGTCTGAAAAAATATTTCCTCTTTCACATCATTTGCTACTTTGAGATGACAAAAAGTGTGTACATATTTCGTGTATTTGGATTATGGATTTTAAGGAAAAAAGATTTGATAACTTATTGTTCAAAGGGACAACTCAAATTTAAATTTGGTTGTTGATTGACTTTGAGAGTTTTGTCGTGGCTCATGATAAATTATAATGGATTTGAAATAACAATGCACATATTCTAATTGGGTAAAATCATAGGAAAATACTTATCTTCTAACTCAAATCTTTCTTCCCCATTAGTTTTTTCAGTCTATCAATAATAATCAACTCTCCTACATTTTTAGAAAAGTTTAATCTTGAATCCACTAGTTTGAAAACCATCCATCCAAATGGTGCCTTAATTCCTTTCATCCAATGGCCCTTGTTATTTCTAACTGTATATTTTTATGACTGAGAGAAGGGTAAGAATAAATTGACAATACTCGAAAATGCAACACTAGCAATTAAAGGGTTCATGCATACTTATTCTAATAATGCCTTTCATAAATCAAAACAACATATTACCATATCTAAACATTTCATACCAATTTCATGTACTTATTTACCTTTATAGATGGCAGGATTCATTCCCATTACCCATTTCACGTGATTTAGAATTTGAGTCCTACTCATTTTTGTTCCATTGTTGTTATGTCAGGTAAAAAAATGTCAACATCAAATGCATCTATGACCGATATTAGTGAAATTCAATTTAGAAATCGAAAATGTTGTTACAGGGTGATAGCAGCATTCAGGATTTCAGAGTCAAAGGACAATCTAGGGATGGTATAGTTTGCTTGCCCTTCAAACAACACCAATGGATGCGGTTTCTTTGAGTTGTGAACTAAATATTATGTGTAAATTAAGTTGGTTGTTGACTTTGTTTGTTTGTTTGGATTGTTGGTATGGTATGTTACTATTTTTTGTGAAGATATCAAGGACAATGGTCCATGTATACATATATAGACTTACATGGACTGTTGCCATTTGTTAACTTTGATGGTACATGAAAAAAAAACTCCATAGTCCTCATTTGGGAATGACACATCAATTCATATGTTTGTAATCTGCTCCTCACTATCTAACTGGACCAAGTAAAAAAAAGATGGATTCTCCAATGTCTTCTCACGAAAATATTGCAAAATGCTACCTGCCTCCCCATATGCTAAACTCTTTTGCCTCTTCGTTCTCAAATAATTTTTTTGGTCCACTTTTGTGAACCCAAGCGACTCCCTTCCACCAGCTTCATTACCCATGAGCTCAAATGCAGCATTAAGCCAGATTCTAGATTTTTCGGCTAAATCTATTTCGGTTGCCTGTGATGCAGATATCTTCCTTTGGAATGGTAACATATGCGTGCATTCTGTTGGTACAAAAATATAATTATGTTGTTCAACAAATTCACCAACAAAAAATTTATGAATATTCCTATCCCACTTAATGTTAAGTCGGGCTTGACAACCAGTCCTCACTTCCTGCCTAGGATTTTTTGTTAATGGATCTCGCTTGTCTACACCTCGAAACCCTTCCTTATTACAAACAAATAGCCTTGAAGTGATTTGCCCCTCCTTGTTCTTGTTTACATAACCCCTTCTAATACTAAACCCCATCATTTCTCCATAAGCATTATAGAAATTATATGCTTCTTGTTCTGTATCAAATGTCATGTGAACTCTAGGCTTCCAATCATAATCACCCCCGTCATTCTCAACATTGTTAGGTTCCATATCAATGTGCCAAGTCACTTAAAAAAAAAAAAAGTGCTCAATATTAGCATAAAAACTATAAATTATGTTTGCAAAATAATACAAACTAAATAAAAACACTACAAGAATTGAATCATATTAGATTATATAAACAAAGGGGCACAAATCCCTTCAATGGTAAATTATGTTTTAAATGATCCAAATTTAACACGAATTCTTTAATTTTCTTATAATCAACATGTGAACATACAAAATCAAAATTAAAATTAAACAACAAAAACAAACAAAATAAATGGATGAATGAAATGTAAGATACTTCTATTTATATACATTATCTTTGACTGCACCAAATGTTTAAAAAACAAACATCACTTATCAGCTAAAGTGATAACCATAACAATAAACCATGATGATAATTTTTAATCTAGGTCAGTTAAAGCTGATTTTTTGTTTTCATTTATTTTTAACCATCCCTATTAAAGAAAATGCCCACAAGTTTTCACACCTCCACGGCAAACAAAAAGAAAGGGGTAAGAAAATCAACCAAACGGCTATAACCTACAATTGCACAATATTGATTAAGATAATATCTAAATTACTAATATGAAATAAAAAAATAAATAAGGTTTGTCCAAAAGCACATCCTATAAATGATGTGCAAAAAGCATAGAAGGGTCATAACCTTATAGTTAAACAATACATATACTGAATTTATCACAACCATGATCAACTCAAAAAATGATCTTCATTTTCTTGACAAAGTAATCGTCAAGCTCATCTTTCTCAATCTGAGTAAGGGCCAGTCCTCTTGCTAAGCCAGAACAATGCAAAAAAAAAACAAAAAACAAAAAACAAAAAACAAAAAAAAACTGAATTTCAAATTTAATAACAAAATGAGGTACCAGAAACAATGAACTCTACAAGTTTGGAGCTAATCAATAAATCTTTATATTGTAAAATTAACAATATTTTCATACGAAATTTAGAAATTAAGCAGCTCGATCCATCATCATGAGAAACTACAACATAAATCATAATAAATTCAATCTTCCATGAAGTAACACAATGGCAACCACACAAAAACCTCAAAAGTACATAAAAATTTGAGTCGAAAAAATTCTGGGGATTATAAAGTACATAAAAATAAAATAAAGTGCAGAGATTGGGGTATATATGTATAGATTTATACAATGTTAAAAGGGATGAATGAAATGTTCCCACACCTCAGCGATGGCGGCGACGACTGGACGACACTCGCACCTCTCTTCTCTTTCTGTCTTCTTTTTTCTTTCTCGCACTCCCGCCACACAGCTCTGCTACGGAGCGAATGTACATTTTGAATGAAAGCAATTTATTTATTTATTTATTTATTTTTGAAATTACTAACCAAAACGACGTCGTTTTGGTTATTTACATTTTTAGTCGTTGGATCAACACACTTCAGGGATCACTTCAGGGGCAATACTTCAGAGGATCCTGATACTTATTTTGGGTTGGTGTAGCTTTTTATTTATTTATTTATCATAAATTACACTCCCATCCCTTTAAGTTTACTTTTATTAAAATTTCTTCCTTAATGTTTGAGAAATTATACAGTGTCCCCTAAAATTTCTTCCTTTGTTAATCTCCAGCAACTAATAGAGATTTTGATGTTCATTGAGAGTTGTCAAAGCATTGATTTTTATCTTACTAATCTTAACCAACCCAAATAACCTCACTTGCTAAAATGCTAAAATGCTAAAATATAACAAATCTCAAGTTTGATGTCGTAAAAGAAAAATAAATTACATTTTATTCCCTCACTTTGCTCTTTAAATGTGTTTTATTTTTTGTTTTTCCACTATAACCTTTTTATTTTTATTTTTATGTTTGTAAGGAGCTATCAAGGCCCCCAGGATTTTTTGTTAATGGATCTCGCTTGTCTACACCTCGAAACCCTTCCTTATTACAAACAAATAGCCTTGAAGTGATTTGCCCCTCCTTGTTCTTGTTTACATAACCCCTTCTAATACTAAACCCCATCATTTCTCCATAAGCATTATAGAAATTATATGCTTCTTGTTCTGTATCAAATGTCATGTGAACTCTAGGCTTCCAATCATAATCACCCCCGTCATTTAATTTATTTTAAAACTTTATATCCATGACTTTTTTTAATATTGTCCATGATACACTAATTACAAATAATATTTAGCTTATTTGGTTCTAGTTTTCAGAAATAGTTTTCAAAAAATTCTATATTTTTATTTTCTGTATTTTAATGTTTTCAATAATGTGTTTAATATTTCACAAATATTTTACTATTTGGATATATATCTAAGTAATGTGCATCTAAAACAGTAAAAAAAAATTGTTTAAAATTGAAAAAATATTCACTAAAATCAAAAAAATATGAAAAAAAGAAAACTTAATTCAGAAAACTAAAACCAAACACACTGATTATTTTTTTTTTAATCTTTCTTGAAGTTAATGGTAAAAATTTATATAAAATATTTTTATAAAAAATTTAATATTATAATTAATGAGTGTTGTTGATTTAATTTCTTGGTTACGCCGTCTCCAACTGCCTTGAACCGCGCAAGGATCCTCTAAAGCTTTTTTTTTAAAAATTTCTTAAAGTGGTGTATTATGTAGTTGGAATTTAATAATAAATTACATCAATTTTTCAACATTAAATCTCAACAACACTACATCCCTTTAAAAAACTTTAGTAAAAACGCAGGATCCTTGGTGCCTTGAACCACCCCCTCTCCTTCCAATTCACCATTCCTTCTACTGATCGCCATCATCTACTCGCTCTACCTCATTTGTTTTCCATTACCCCAATGGATCTCCTGTCTACCTTCACATCGATCACCTGCCCCAAATCGAAATCAAAATAAAGAAACCAAGAAATCAAAATAAAAATAGAAAAACACCTAAGAGAAAGGAAGAAGATTGCAGAATAAGGGAGATCCCCGATTGAGTGGAAGATGACAGCGATTTGAACAATCTAGTGATAGTGATCTCGATTTTGATCTCGGTGAAGCTCATGGTTTTGGATTTGGTGTAGTTGAACTAGATCACGATCTTAGCATGTTCGTCGGTGGAGGTATTATACAGAGAGGGTGCCGGTGGAGGTTTTGGATATGTTCTTCGTAATGACCATGGACATCACTCTCGATGTTTGTTGTTGGCTAAAGATGGAGAATGAGACGGAGAATGTGAAGGGGAAAGCGGAGAACCAAGAGACGGGTTAAAGAATAGAGGAGGAGACAAAGGCAGTGGAGATTGGGGGGGTGTAGAGGAGTAGAGGAGGGTAATGGTGGTGGATAGAGAGGTGGGTTGTAGAGAAGGGGTTGAGTTTGGGGTTCTAGGTTAGGGTTTATGGGTTTGGGTTTGGAGATGGGTGGGTTTTTGGGTTTGGTTTTTGGTGGGTTTTAATGTCACGTGGCTACCACATGGCATTTTCCATCCATGTTTTGAGAAAGTTGAGTTCATGAGTGAATTGGGAAAAATCACAAACATAAAGGGTTAATGTGTAAAAAAAAAAAAAAAAACTTCAAAGAGCCAAAATGGGAAAACGGTCAAACTTAAAGGAGACAAAGTGTAATTTACTCTAGAAAGAAATTGAGGAGAAACATAGAGGAATGAGAAATGATGGACACTAACCATAAATTGTTTATGTGGTGGAAGTAGAGAACGGAATTGGTGAACGAAAATGGTATTACAGTGTTTGGAAAGAGAAAATAGAGTGATAGCAGTACATTGGTGGTGGAAGCAGAATGAAAGAAGTAAGAAGATGGTACGGTGGTCAATAGTGCCATAGTGGTACAGTAATAGTAGATGTTAGTGTTGTAATGATATGGTTATGATACAGATTTGATGACTAGTACTAATGCATCATATCACCAATGTGTAAATAAAAGAAAAAAAAAAAAATTCATTTTTAAAGTATACTGTGAGAGCTCATTTGGGAATTGAATTTTTTTTTTAATAATTTTTTAATTTTTTACAAAAAAATATGTAAAAAAAAAATAAAAAAAATAATGTGATAACTTGTATTAACTTTTTATCTAAAAACTAGTCTTCCCAAACATAGCTGAATCATACATTTCTAAAGGAATATTTGAAAGAAAATAAAAGAAAAAATATGAGAAGAAAATGAAGTAGAAAATTCTCAATTAAAAGAGCCTGAACCAAGTTTTGACTTTTAAATTATAAAATTAGAAAAACTTCAACCTAATGTGCCACGTCAGTTCAACAACAATTCACTACATAAAACCTAACAACCCAAATTCAAAAACAAAAACCTAACAACCCAAATTCACTCTATCTGGTTGTTGTTGTTGTTTTTTCTTTTTTCCTTTTAATTTATTGCTGAAAGTTTTTTAAAAATCAACCCAAATTCACTCTATGTGGTTGTTGTTGTTTTTTCTTTTTTCTTTTTAATTTATTTCTGAAAGTTTTTTAAAAATTAATTTAGTAAATAACTTTTATTTTTATTTTTATTTTAAGAAACAAGTTTTCAAAAATTTAAAATATATTTTTTTAGTATTTATTTTTATCAAATTAATTTCTAATTTTTCAAAAAAAAATAAAAAAAATAAAAAATCATAAAACAAGTTTGAAAACTCAACCCCGCATAGAATAATAATTCATTCTCCATATTTTGATCAAACCTATAGATTAGGACAACTATAAACTTCTCATTTTGACTCCATCAGTTTAAACAGATCAAAATAGACATCAAAATAAAAAGCTTGCCCCCATCTCATGCTGATGCAACATCAAATAAAATAAATAAATCTCAATTCATGAAAAAGAATTTGTGCAACTTCATTGAATCAGATAAATGAAGTCCAACCCTTAATTCATATGAGAGACAATAAATTGTATCTGCAAATGAGATTGAGTTGCATCAAGTGATGCTGAGCTTAGTCGCACGAGCCTGACACCGAGCAGGGTCAGACAACTGTTCAGACCAGCTCCGTCTAGGACAAATACACCAAACACCACCACTTCGTAGCCTACCAGAGAAAGCATAGTTATGCAACTCTCAGACTATGTTTGGATCTCGAATTTGTTTTGAGGAATTTCAGCCAATACTCCATAGTCCTGTGACAACCACGGCAATTAGATGAGATCAGAGTTTGTTGTTGGCTAAAGATGGAGAATGAGACGGAGAATGTGAAGGGGAAAGCGGAGAACCAAGAGACGGGTTAAAGAATAGAGGAGGAGACAAAGGCAGTGGAGATTGGGGGGGTGTAGAGGAGTAGAGGAGGGTAATGGTGGTGGATAGAGAGGTGGGTTGTAGAGAAGGGGTTGAGTTTGGGGTTCTAGGTTAGGGTTTATGGGTTTGGGTTTGGAAATGGGTGGGTTTTTGGGTTTGGTTTTTGGTGGGTTTTAATGTCGTGTGGCTACCACATGTTCCATCCATGTTTTGAGCAAGTTAAGTTCATGAGTGAATTGGGAAAAATTACAAATATAAAGGGTTAAAGTATAAAAAAAAAAAAAAAAAACTTCGAAGAGCCAAAATGAGAAAACGGTCAAACTTAAAGGAGACAAAATGTAATTTACTCTAAAAAGAAATTGAGGAGCAACATAGAGAATGAGAAATGATGGACACGAACCATAAATTGTTTATGTGGTGGAAGTAGAGAATGGTGGTTCTTTGAGGAGAAACATAGAGAATGAGAAATGATGGACACTAACCATAAATTGTTTATGTGGTGGAAGTAGAGAATGGTGGTTCTTTGGTAAAAGAGAACGGAATTGGTGAACGAAAATGGCATTACTGTGTTTGCAAAGAGAAAATAGAGTGATAGCAGTACATTGGTGGTGGAAGAAGAATGAAAGAAGTAAGAAGATGGTGCGGTGGTCAATAGTGCCATAGTGGTACAGTAATGGTAGATGTTAGTGTTGTAATGATACGGTGATGATACAGATTTGATGACTAGCACTAATGCACCATATCACCATAGTGTAAATAAAAGAAAACAAAAAAAATTCATTTTTAAAGTATACTGTGAGAGCTCATTTGGGAATTGAATTTTTTTTTTTATAATAATTTTTTAATTTTTTACAAAAAAATATGTAAAAATAAAAATAAAAAAAATAATGTGATAACTTGTAATAACTTTTTATCTAAGAAGTAGTCTTCCCAAACATAGCTGAATCATACATTTCTAAAGGAATATTTGAAAGAACATAAAAGAAAAAATATGAGAAGAAAATGAAGTAGAAAATTCTCAATTAAAAGAGCCTGAACCAAGTTTTGACTTTTTAATTATAAAATTAGAAAAACTTCAACCTAATGTGCCACGTCAGTTCAACAACAATTCACTACATATAACCTAACAACCCAAATTCAAAAACAAAAGCCTAACAACCCAAATTCACTCTATCTGGTTGTTGTTGTTTTTTCTTTTTTCTTTTTAATTTATTTCTGAAAGTTTTTTAAAAATTAATTTAGTAAATAACTTTTATTTTTATTTTTATTTTAAGAAACAAGTTTTCAAAAATTTAAAATATATTTTTTTAGTATTTATTTTTATCAAATTAATTTCTAATTTAAAAAAAAAAAAAATCATAAAACAAGTTTGAAAACTCAACCCAGCATAGAATAATAATTCATTCTCCATATTTTGATCATACCTATAGATTAGGACAACTATAAACTTCACATTTTGAGTCCATCAGTTTAAACAGATCAAAATAGACATCAAAATAAAAAGCTTGCCTCCATCTCATGCTGATGCAACATCAAATAAAATAAATAAATCTCAATTCATGAAAAAGCATTTGTGCAACTTCATTGAATCAGATAAATGAAGTCCAACCCTCAACTCATATGGGAGACACAATAAATTGTATCTGCAAATGAGATTGAGTTGCATCAAGTGATGCTGAGCTTAGTCGCACGAGCCTGACACCGAGCAGGGTCAGAAAACTGTTCAGACCAGCTCCGTCTAGGACAAATACACCAAGCACCACCACTTCGTAGCCTGCCAGAGAAAGCATAGTTATGCAACTCTTAGACTATGTTTGGATCTCGAATTTGTTTTGAGGAATTTCAGCCAATACTCCATAGTCCTGTGACAACCACGGCAATTAGATGAGATCAGAAAATGTAGATAAAGAGGAAACAACTTCTGATTGTTCTTTACAAGTAGCAGTTTTTTGACAATTTTCTCAGTAACAGATTACAAGAAGTTCAGCTCATTGTTGATTTAGGTGAAAAAATGATCAGCTCATTGGTCCGGATGAACTAAAAAGCACCAAGACGGTAATAATAGAGTTAAAGTAGATAATAATAATAATAAAATTTTTTTCAGCTGGATGGCAATACAAGTAAGTGGAAAAAAGAAAATCATTATGCCAGGAAAGTAAAATTAAACAATAAATAACCTGAATTTGTCTTCTGTTCATTTACGTGCCCGATCTCCTAATTTATCATCCCATGTCGAATTCCTCTGATACCCAACAGGAGGAGACCTTGATATTCAAACCCCTGTGGACTATCTGCATTTTGGGCATCCCATGATAATGTGTTTTTCTACAGATGGAAATTTGCCCCCAATTTTCTCCAATTTTGGCAATTCTTGTAGATCAAGTGTCTCTAGCTTTTGCAATACATAATCTGATGACGTGTCATGTTCAAACAGAGTCTTCAATTTGTTGCAAGACTTGATTTTGAGGGTCTTGAGACTTTGTGGCGGCTGAGGTGAAGAGAGAACATTTTCAAGCATAGGGCAACTCTGAAGAACCAAAGTTACAAGGTTTCTTAAACTCTCAGGTTGTTGGCTTCCACTGTATACACTCTTCAAATCAACAACATTGGAAATCCATAAAGTCTGTAAACTTTCAACCAAACTGACATTGATTTCTGAATTCTGCAATTTTGGACACTCCCATACTTTTAGAGTTTGTAGAGACGGCAATGTGCATCCAATGCTCTTCAGTTCTGGTAGTTCCCACAGACATAGTGTCTCCAATTTTGGCAATTTAGGCTCTGGAGACGTTTGTTCAAATACACTCTCCAATTTATTGCAAAATTTGACTTGAAGAACTATGAGGTTTTTTGGCAACTGGGATGATGAGAAAACAGTTGAAAGCTTTGGACAGCAATCAAGATACAGAGATTTAAGGTTTTTGAAGCCCTGCCAAAGAAGGTTCCCACTGTGTACGCTATACAAATTAATAGCATTTGAAACCCCTAAAATTTCCAATGTTTCCCCGAGTTTAGCAATATCCTCTTCCTTTCCTGCATGAAAAACGCCCTCCATTTCAGCGCATCTCTCAATCCAACAGCCTTTGATTGCCTTGAGGGTGGAAACACCAATATCTGATAACCATTTGTTGAAAGTGTTATTAATAAAAAATACACAGTCAACACTGCAGAGAATATCCTCAGCACCCTTTGGGAAATGATCAAATCCATTGATCTCCAGTACTCGTTGATCTTTAAAACGACCAAATTCTACAGTTTGGAAGTGGGTATCTCTGAAAATAAGGTCATTTCCATAAGAATATGTATCCCCATTCTTATTTTGCCCCTTGGTACTAGGATGAACACAGAAATGAAATCGTGTGAGTAAAGAGGGATTTTTCTTCAAAACTTGAAGAAATTGAATACCATTTACAGATATGGGAGGCTTGCCATTGTCCCGGTGTGTTTTATCAAGAAAACTAGAGATGCCCCAATCTTCTTCTGGCAGGGACTTTGTATTTCTGCTCTCAGCTTCTTCAATAGTCTTCATGTTCGGCAGATCAAGGCACTCAAGATGAGTCAATTTTGAGATTCCATAGGGAAGCTCTTTAGCAGTGGGCCCCAACAGATCATGCATCTCCACATCCAGAAACCCTTCCAACTTTGAACAACCCCCCAGGAGGAGTTGTTTGAGATTGCTAAAATTGTGAAGGGGCGGTAGATGAGTGACTGCTGTCCTAGAAAGATCTAGAACCTCAAGCCTTGTAAGCTCTTCCAAATTTAGCACTTTTTGTAAGCCCTGACAACCTCTTAAAGAAAGCTGACGAAGTTTTTTGAGGTTTGACATTGATGGTAACTCTTCAAGTTGGGTTTCAGAGAGGTCAAGAATCCGAAGGTGGCTCCTGTGCTCCAAAAACCCAGCTCCATTTTTCGTCAAAGTGCTAATACCACATAAATTTAGCTCCTCAAGATTTGTTAGAGACTCTAGCAATGGAATTGCTATCAAGTTTGTACAGTTTTTCAGTGAAAGGACAGAGAGATTGCTAAGATTCAAAAGGGATGGCAAGTATTCAAGACTAGTCTCAGAGAGGTCAAGATGTTGAAGGAAAGACATATGCTCAAAGGATTTGTCTTCTATTACTTTCAAAGCAATGCAGCCTGACAATAATAGCTGACGGATATTATTTTGATTGGCAAGCGATGGTAGAGTTTTTATGCTAGTTTCTGAAAGGTTGAGAATTTGAAGAGATCTCAGACGGCTGAAGAATTGGTCTTCGATTTCAACCAGACTTTTTGAACCTGAAAGATCAAGTACCTCGAGGTCTTTAAGTGCTTCGAGGCATGGCAGTTTTTTTAGCTGAGAGCAATGCTTTAAAAACAGATGGCGAGGATTGATCTTGGAAGGCAGTTTTTCTAGAGGAGTCTCCGATAGATCAAGAATTTTAAGGCCACCAGAATTTCCTAATGACTGCTCATGGAATTCCTTAAAATTCCTAGCACCTGAAAGATCAAGAGTTTGGAGGGTAGTTAGTGATTCAGTTCTGGGCAGTCTATCTAAGGATTTGCAGCCACTTAGTGAGAAATGAGTAAGATCTCTGAGTTTGATAAGTTTTGGCAAGCTTTTAATAGAGGTACGGGAAAGATCAAGGGTTTGAAGTTTTGGAATGTCTTTAAAGGCTTTGTCTCTAAAAGTCGTCAAAGATTTAGCACCAGAAACATCACACACCAAGAGCTTGCTGAAACTGTTCAGACTTATTAGGGTTTTAAAGCAAGAACAGTCTCTAAGGATGAGCCAGCGTAATTCTTTGAGTTTTTCAAGAGATGAAGGTAAATGATTGACCTTCAGTTCAGATATATGCAAGCTTTGAAGTTGGAGCATGTGATCAAAAAAATCATCTGGAATTTCCTGTAAGGAGCTAGCATTAGATATCTCAAGAACAGTCAATCTTTGAAGTTCAAACTTCTCATTGATCTTCTCCAAAAAATGACAACCTCTTAGCACAAGCACACGAAGCTCGTGCATGTCAGACAAGAGCTGTGTCAATGATTTGAGCGTTGGGTTGAAAAGGGCAAGAACTTGAAGTTCTTTCTTCGACCCAAAAAAATTATCTTTGATTTCTCCACAACGGTTTCCATTAAGGAAAAGTGTTGAGAGTTTTTGATCCTTCTTACCAGTACAAAGTGATTTTATCATTCCATCTTTCTGCGTGATTCTCCCAAAGCCTTCCCAGTCTACATCTTCAGACAGATCAGCCAACCCAAGACTGGCTGTCCCGCCAAATCCATAACGGTCAGAGTCATCCAAATCTATGATTGCACTGTCCATGATAACAAAACCACCTTCCAGTTTTTTCAGCACCTGAAAATCCACAAGCTCCATAAAAACAGAATGGCCCTTCTCATATGCCTTCTCGATACAATCGACATGCCCAAAATAGCCTTCCATTACCCAATAAGCTATCAACTCATTGTAATGGATGCTTCCACGGTCACGAAAGTAGTGACTGCCACGCCGACAGCAGTCAATTAAGACATTCCTTGGCAACAAGTCATACCCACTACGTACTAGCTGCGTTATATTATAGCTTTCCTTGTCAGAAGCTGATGCTTCCTTCAAATATCGCTCAAGTATCCGTGTCCCAGAATCATGTTGAACAAAATAACTAAAGGCTTTTGCCATCAAGATAATTGCAGAAGGCAAATATTTTGTCTTTTCAATGAAAGTTTTAGCTAAAGCTTCAATGGCTAGATCTTCATAAATGCTTCTCCCAACCCTTTCTCTCCATAAGGACAATGATTCTTCCACGGACAAGGGCTCCACCAGAATCACACCTTCGGTTCCCGAGGTAGCATAGGCGGTGTTGTTCTTTGCTTTAGTAATTATAACCTTGTATGAACTTTGGTCGTGAAGATTAAACAGGTGAAGATTAAACAGGGATATTATTTGTTCTTCATCCATTTTGTCTCCTTCATCATCCAAAATTAGAAGAAATCTCTTTCCCACAAGGGCTTCAGCTATCATCATTTGCAAATCTTCATGGTTCTCCTTCTTCGCTTCCCCTTCTTTGCCATCTTCAGCTTCCCACTCCTCAGAAATGGGATGGAGAGATAACTGATGAGCAATACTCTTACAAAGAGTCGGCACATCATTTTCTCTGTTGAGGAATACCCAAACAGCAATCTCAAATAAACCATCTTTAATTGCATGATTACTTACCTGTCTAGCTGTCCATGTTTTTCCAACTCCAGAATCCCCAACAAGAATAATTTTCTTCACATTGTCATCCCTCAACAATTTGGAGATATTGTCCTTCCGCTGAACCACGGTACAAGGTGCCATTGTAGATGCTACAATCCCACTGCATAATTTCGGTCAATGAATTAATATAGAATTTTGACAAATTATCTACTCCAATTTTTTTTTTTAAAAAAAAAAAAAAAAAAATTACAAGAAAATTTTGACAAATTGAAGATAGCAGCAAGTTCAAGTTTTTTCCAAGTGCAAAACAATCAGATGAAATATATACAATTGTCCGTGACATGTCATATACATATTACAAGACTTGAACCCAAGATCTTCTGAAACTTGATCGTCATGCTTATACATGTCCAGATAATCTCAATTGTAAAGGTCTTTTTCCTGTTTTTTTGGGTGGAGTGGGGCAAGAACGTGTTTAAACAGATAGGGTCAAAGATCCAAGGAAATTTGAATTGTTTATAGTTTAAAATGTGAAACAACGAAGCCAAATGATTGATTACAGGAAGTCCCTTACCGGTATTGTGCAATTAAACAGTTCATACTTCATGCCATCTAGTGAAGAAGTCAACTTTTATCCAAGCGCACAGACAATAAACCTAATATTAGCAGTATTCACCAATTGAGAATCTTATACATTATTAGAATCAAGAACAATCTTATGCATGTAAAAACAGATTTATCTGCTAAGAAATTTATTACAAAACAAATATTTCCTAAGAGAACAACATTAGTAATTTGACTTAATGGAACTCAAAATTCTGAAAATGTAAGCAGATGACATTTGAAAGAACAATTTGTAATTGATCCATCAAATCAAACTATATTTAGACTTTGGTGTATGAGAAGCACGGACACTTCTAAGAAGGTGTATGTCCATGTCATGTCCAACACCAACACTCATTGAACACTTCCTAACATTTGTCGGATACATGTCCAAACGTGTCATATTATTTGTTAAAAATTTTTACACCCAAACACACTTGAGACAATGGGGGAACGCAATTAGCCTATACCTTAGACATACATAAACCACATTATAAGTCAGAACAAAATAATTTAGAGAATACAATGATAAAAGAAAAACAATGTAAATTTATACCAATTAATCCCTCTTCCTCTAAATTTAAAAAATTTAATTTTCATTATCTTTGGACAAAAATTTATATAAATGACATATAATAAATATATAAAATCACATATTCTTTCCGTTCCCCCCACGTGTTGTCTTACATTTTTTTGAAAATTGACACTTTTTTTTTTTTTTCTTCCTTTCTTTCCAATGACGGTATCTGTAGCCTTGCCCTGACTAGTCCTGTACATGTAGCCTCCGTCCACACACCAGTTATTAGCGGCCATAGGCCCTAGGGTGGCCCTAAAGGATCAACCGGTCAAGCACTACTTGAGATTGAACTTGTGACCTATACTTCTTGAAACATTTATCACGGCTCAACTTGAGACTCGGCTAACCCCTTGGGGTTGTATCCAACCAATTTAACTCTAAAGAATAGAACTCAAAGTCAATTACAGACAAACAGTTCAATTCCAAGGTCCAGGATCTACAAAGATCTGTGCACTAGATCTTTGTATATTCAAAAGGGGTAATACAAATATTTTCAAAATGGGATAATACAACTTTAAGAATTTATGCAAATACAAATCAAACCATGTAATTTCTTCAAGATGAATTCTTGTAAAAACTAGATTGGACTTGGAATCTACTTTGACATTGTGTATCAGAAAACTTTCACTCACCCATTATTTCTTCTAACTAAATACAACGATTGTGAATGTGTGTAGACCTAGAAAGTGAAAATCAATTATCAGAAATTTAGAATACACTCGAAGATCTGCTCAGGATTTTACTTAATTTTTTTTTTTTATAAATTTTTTGGGTCTGCATGTAATTGAAAATTTGATTAAGAAATTAACAAAAAATTGTACTATATCAGCGCACAAAGAGAGAGAGAGAGAGAGAGAGAGAGAGAGAACCTGGAAAGCAAGCTCGCTTCTTTCCTGTTCTTTCGAAGTTGCTCGTAAATGTAAAGATGCAGATGTTTTCGTCTTCAACTGTCTTCCTAGTTTTCGTCTTCAACACAGTGACGAAGATATCCGTTTGGCAATGCAAGTTGGGGCTATTTTAGCCACTACGGGACAAAAGAGGTTAAAGTAGCCGAATGGAGAGAAAAGCCACTGTAATTGATGGGTAACTAACTAATAATGATTTAGACCATTAAAAAAATACATTATTAACAGTATTAATATATTAAGAATGACAAAAAAAATAATAAAAAAATAAAAACAAGGCATAGAAAGTAAGCAAGACCCACTGTTACATCATTAGTGCTCCCTCTAGTGATCCCCTTTTAGTGCTCCCAAGCATTTTTCGGTAACTAACAACCCACTTCAAGATAAATTTACCAAATTACCCCCACATGAAAAACCACAAATAAAACTAAATTAATGTATACAAATAAAAATAAAAATGACAAAAACGTAAATTAAAAAAAAAAGAACCACAAAAATACACCTCATCCACAAAAAAAAAAATAAAAAAAAAATAAAAACAGAAATTAGCATTTGCCAAGTAATTTAAAAAAAAATAAAACACATGAAAATTTATTTTTGAAAAATAAAAACAAATTAATGTATACAAATAAAAAAAATGACAAAAACGTAAATGAAAAAAAAAGAATCACAAAAATACGTCTCATCCAAAATTAGCATTTTCCACGTCATTTAAAAAAAATATAAAAAATCCTTTAAAACAAAAAAAAAACCAAAATTAACATTTTTCAGGTCATTTGGAAAAAAAAAAACATAATAAAGCCTTTTCCAACAAAAAAAAAACAAATAAAAAAAACACGTTAAAATGAAACTGAAATAAGCATGGTCAACGTCATTTAAAATTAAAAAACAAGAAAAAAACCTTTTAAAAAAAAATAAATAAATAAACAAAACAAAAAGTCAATAAAATGAAACCGAAATTAGCAGTTTCCACGTCATTTCAAAAAAAAATGATAAAGCCTTTTCCAAAATAAAAAAAACAAATTAATATATATATATATATATATAAAAGAAGACAACAACATAACACCCAAATTTACATTTTCAATGTCATGTTAAAAAAAACAAAACATAAAAAAGCTTTTTCCAAACCCAAAAAAAAAAACACAAATTGAAAACAAAAAAAAAAAAGAAGACAAAAACGTAAATGAAAAAAAAAGAACCACAAAAATACACCTCATCCAACCAAAAAAAAAAAAAATTTAAAAACAGAAATTAGCAGTTGCCACGTAATTTTAAAATAAATAAAACACATGAAAAACCATTTTTGAAAAATAAAAACAAATTAATGTATACAAATAAAAATAAAAATGAGAAAAACGTAAATTAAAAAAAAAAAGAACATCAAAAATATGCCTCATCCAAAAAAGTAAAAATAAAAACAGAAATTATCATTTGCCGTGTAATTTAAAAATAAATAAAACACATGAAAAACCATTTTTGAAAAATAAAAACAAATTAATGTATACAAATAAAAATAAAAATGACAAAAATGTAAATTAAAAAAAAAAGAACCAGAAAAATACGCCTCATCCAAAAAAATAAAATAAATAAAAACAGAAATTATCATTTACCGCGTAATTTACAAATAAATAAAACACATGAAAATCTATTTTTGAAAAAAAAAACAAATTATTGTATACCAATAAAAATAAATAAGACAAAAATGTAAATTAAAGAAAAAGAACAAATTAATGTATACAAAAAGAAAAATGACAAAAACATAAATTAAAAAAAAAAACCATAAAAATACGCCTAATCCCACACACAAAATAAATAAATAAATAAAATCGGTACCAATGATGCTGACGTGGAGGATGTATGGCAAGGAGTAAAAATATAAAAAATCACTTCAAGGGCAGTTTGGTCATTCACCATGAAGACACTTTACCAAAAAGTCAAAAAGTCAAAAAAGTTAAAAAGTCCTTCCAAAATCAGGCTTTTTAGCCCCAGGCTAAAATAGCCAAAAAAGCTAAAAAGTCAAAAAGCCAACCCACTTCCCAAACGGAGGCAAGCTATCTTCGGTTTCGGTTTCCGTTTCGATTTTAGTTTTGGCTTTTTTCATTATTTTTTTGGCTAATAAAAGTATAAGAATAAAATTGATTATGTGGGAATATATTTTTGAGTACCAACACGTGGCAAGGTGACACCGACATGTCAGCCGAGGTGCCACGTGTCCTGGTCGTTATGCCGAGGTCGTCTCGGTTAGGCCGAGGTTATCTCCGACGATATCGGAATCCGAGATAAGCGGATAAGGGATAAGGGACAAGAGTCCTAGAATAAAGAAGAGAGCCAAGATAAGGATAAAACTCTTAGAGAGTTAATTTTTATCTCTTAAGGAGTCCAAAGTAAGTACTGAACAGGAATCCATAGAGGTCAGGCTTCTATTGGGATTAGGATTGAGATAACTATAAAAGAGAGGCACTCCCATGGGTCTAAGGCACGCAATTTTATGCTTTGAGCATTGAGTTTAGCATTATTGATTATCTTTGAGAGATATACTGACTTGATCGTCGGAGTGCCCCCGGGTGGACGAACCACCGTTGGAATTTTCTCTTTCTGTTACAGGTTAGCTAGGTGTCATCTATTCTGCCAGTGTTCTGCAGCTAGTTACTAAGCGGGCAGTGTGGTCAGAAAATCACCCACACAATTTGGCGCCGTCTGTGGGAAAAAAAGTAGAATAGATGGCCAATAACGGACAGAAAGAAAAGATTGGGGACGACACTCCTGCTGGGAGTGAGAGACCTATTGACCTTGATATCACAGGAGACGAATGCAATGCAGAAACTCATGACTAGAATCACGGAGCGAAAGACGTCGGCCAGACTGGCGACGCACCAAAAAGACCTGATCAAAGCAGGTACTACAACGAGGACGACCTCCAGGTTTGGAAGGATAGGTGCCTACGGAGGGACAAAGATGTAAAAGAGATGGCAAACAAATTGGCAGACTGCAGTCGGTCGTCAATTTCATGATGCAAAATAACGTCATGCAGCCACCGTATCCGTTGCAGGACACGCCGATTCCAGCGGCCAATGCCTAGAAGGGAGGACAGAAAACAATCCCCGTAGCCCCCCAGCACAACGGGAGCGAAAGATACTCTCACTGACCTTCTAGGGAAGTCGGACGAAGAGAATCAAGAAGAGAAGAATCACGGAGGATGCATCGCACAAAAGAGGCAGACCCCAGAGGACATCGGCATGTTCAGGGGCAGGCACTATGCTTCGACACAACTCATGGAGAAGGGTGGAAAATGGCTCACCACGAGGCCGAGAGTAGTATACCGAAAAGACTGAAATCGAAAGATAGCCGAGCTCCTGGGCGGAGCAAAGAAGACTTAAGAGATTATCTCAAGAGGAAGCAACAAAATGCCGACGCCGAGGTAACCTCCCCAGATAAGCCGAGGACACCATTCTCGGTAGAATTAGACAGGTTTGAGGCGCCGAAGAGATTCAGTATGCCGAGGTTTCAAATATACGATGGTAAGTCAGACCCCAATTTCCACGTTGGACTGTATTTAAACTCCATGGCATTATATAGTGGGAACGAGTTGTTTCTCTGCAAAGTGTTCCCCTCATCCTTCGGGGAGATTGCATCAGATTAGTTCCATAAACTACCGAAGGGAAGCGTGAAGACTTGGGAAGGCCTGGCCAAGATGTTTGTGGCCAGGTTCGTGACAAACAAGCTACGGCCATTAAGGGTGGACGCATTGATGGCTCTGAAGATCAGCAAGGATGAAGGCCTTAGGGCCTATGCAAAAAGATACTATGAGGTGTTCAATCGAATACCCGAATGTAATCAAGAGGTGGCAGTCGTATCTTTCAAAAACGGCTTGAAAGATAACTGTCCACTACGAAAGTCTTTGACAAAGACATTGCCAAAAAGTATGGAGGAACTCATGGTGAGAATCGAGAACTACGCCAAAGCCGAAGAAGACACGTCAGGAACCAGGGAGATAAAACAAGAGAAAGGAAACGGCTAGCCGAAGCGAGACCGAGGTAACAATGGAACGAGCAGGCAAGATGTAGAACTGAAGGCCACACAAGCAGTAACAACTGTGTTCCGAATCCCAATTCCCAAAGTCCTGGATCAAATTCGGAACCAGTCCTATTTCAGAACGCCAGAGAGGACTCCAGGAGAGTTCATGGGAAGAAACATTGGCAGGCATTGTGCCTACCACAATGAAGATGGGCATATAACTCAGGGTTGTAGAGCCCTGAAAACATATTTGGAAGACCTGGTGAGACAAGGACATCTGAAAGACCTTGTCGATGAGACCAGAACAAGGAAAGAACGGGCAAGATTGCCTCCGGCACCAGCAGCTCCATCTCCCCCAGCACAACAGCCACAGGCAGGAGGACCTCGGATAATCAACGTAATCCACTCAAAGGTCAACGAAAACGAAATCCGAGGAAAAACCCAGAAGGTAAAACACCTACAACATGTCTACCAAGTCGGGGACAAAAGACATCGGACAGAAGAGTGCCGGGGACCAATGATAACCTTTACTGAAGCAGACCTGGAGATGGTCCAGCATCCGCACAATGATGCCTTGGTAGTATCCCTTCAGGTTGGGAAGTGCCAAGTGAAACGCATCCTGATTGACCAAGGCAGCTCTTGTGACATCATGTACATCCGATGTTACAAGGAGCTCGGCCTTCACCCAGATGATATGGAACAATCCAATGGCCCAATGGTCGGGTTCAATGGAACGCCGACATGGCCACTGGGAATAGTAAGCTTGGAGGTGCATGCTGGCACCAAGAAGATCAAGACAGAATTCACCATCATCGACACACCCTCCCCTTCCAACATCATTTTGGAAAGGCCATGGTTACATGCAATGGGGGCAGTTCCCTTAACATTGCATCAACTATTGCAATTCCCAACAGAGCATAGGATAGAGGAAGTTAGAGGCGATCAGCTGCAAGTGAAGAATTGCTCTATGGCAGCAATGAAATCTACTTGCAGCGTACGAGAGCCAGAGAAGGCAGAAATTGAAGATGAGGACGTGGAAGTCCT